ATTCCTGCTCCTCTTCTTTGTAGCAACCTTTTGCATACTCGAAATAATTATCATGACTCCCCTCAATTATTTCTTCTGTACATTAAATAAACGTTATCTTTTGATCTTTCCTCCCTATTCATGCTGGAACAGCTTTTTTTGCAAAGGTGTAAACCACTGCATACATTAAACATGTATTGCAAGCTCTAGGCTTTCCAGGGACATTAACTTGAGGAGATAATATCTGACGCAGATTCCACAGAGCAGCTTGCTTTAGCTGTTCCCATAAGTCTTCATATGATGTGAAATGTGCTTGATCTCATCTGATCTGTTTCTACCACAGAACAGATTAAAGGGGGAAGAAAACCCAAAACAGGCGAAGGGTAGAGATGTAGACTCCCTTTCTATCATATCTTCGAAAACAGTTAAATGTTGATTGCCGAGTCCTTATTAAAACAGGTCTCACAGGGCAGTGTCATCACCCTAGCATGTCTTCCCAGAATTAAGGAGCCTGGGATCCATCAAAAGTGGCACCACTTCATCTTTTACTTGACGTCCAACACTTCCACCCCACCTCCCCAAGCAGGCACTTAAAACTGGGTCTTACTGCAAAGAGCTTCAATACCCCAGACACAGGCCGGTGGCACAGCAGCTTCCTCACCGCCTCAAGGCTGATGCTTAGGTAAGAGAGGAGCGCACTTGGCAGGGGAGAGGACTGGCACATAAAACCAACATGTGACTGAGCAAGGGTGGGGGAGTCTGCACAGAAAAATTTAATATTAAAGAGGCACAGAAGCCTACGAAGTCTAGGGAGCCACATGAAAAGCAGGTGCCTGTCCAGGCACGCGGGCTATCAGAGAAAGGATGGGAGGCACAGTGCCATAATTACGCATCATCTTGTGACTGGTGCGAACGCTGCCAGGAGCCAGCACACTGCAGTAGAGCTGATTGGTCTCTCAAGGCAAGTTGCAGAGCGCTGAGCACCCAGAGCCACAAAGGGAAAGCAAGTGAATCAGCAAGGGGCACGTCAGTCCCCAAGCACTGGTGTGGTGCAGAATTGTCAGCATAAAGGTCACGTGCTGAGACAAAAGCAGAGAGATGCTCCTTTACTTATCAACTCACCAGAGACAACCAGGTTACTGTGGAAAGTAATTTTATTTCAGAATTTCACGCACTCTGTCACAGACCATACACTTGGACTTTCCCCTTTGCAAATCCACAGCCTCCAGGTATGGGAGAGATGGGGCATTATCTCTTCTCACTGTGAGTACCCACACACCAAGAGTGAGGACCCTGATGGCAGCTGCCAAGAGGCAGAAAGCAGCCTCTTGTTTCCGCAATTGCTTTCAAACACTGGAAAAGAAATCCATCTGACTTGATGGATTAGCTGTGGAGCTCAGCAGCAGTGAAACCCCACTGCTGAGCAAGTTGGTCCTCGCCCTGTGGTTACAGAGAACAAGACGACAATCTCACGGGAAGCTCACGTGAGATAAGCTATAGCAGAACACACCAAGGCATTCTTGGAGCCCAGGCAGCAAACAATCAAACGCATGCTCAGGGCCTCTTACAATCAATTAATCTCCGAGCCTCTCTGCCACAAAGGTGGCTGGGAGCTGCCCTTTTCACATTCAGCTTTAGGTCCTCCTACTCTGTGCTACAGCTTTGACTAGGAAGGAGCCTACCTATAGGTAAGACAGCTGTCCGGGCTGTACGCCAACACATGTACTGCATTTAATACTGAAAGGTGCCATTTCAGAAGACCCTGCAACAGTCTGTTTGACCCACAGGCTGGGTCCAGCATTAGTGTAAGTTTCCTGAATACTTACCCTCCTCTTTCTTCCCTGCCTCTGTTGCTCCTTATGCCTGACCCTGCTCTTAGTAGCAGCGTCCCTGTGATCCATTACATCTTTGGCCTTCGCTGAGACTGCCACTGCCAGGGCAGCTACTGCCCGCTGTGGTGGCTGCCTGTAGGAAGTGAGCATCTGCCTCCCGAGAACGGGCTTGTGGCTAGGTCAGAGGAGGGAAAAAACTGAAGGGAAGAAATTATGGAAGTGATTCAAGTGAACTGGAGCAAAGTCTACAGAAAAGGCAAAAAGGCAGCTTCAGTCTCCATTTGATACACAAATTGAGCTCAGTAGCAGCAAGAAATGGCCATAAAATATTAATTCATTAGGTTGCCAGGAAAAAGTAAAAGCATTCATGTAAAAAATTCTATATACAGATATGTATGTGGCAACTGTTCTCAAGCCAGCTCAGACAGTGGCTTCTTCCTGTTTATGTATTGCCTTTTTTGTACCTATAGCTTTGAACATTCCAAACCATGTTGCTGCTTAATTCTGCATGAAGACCATGGTATTGGAGTCAGCACCAAGTGAGGGTGAGATCACACTGAAGAAATGAACTTACGGGAAACTCCTGACAACCCCAATATTTTAATATTTTTGTTGACCTTCAAGTAATTAGAAGAAAGGGGAATTTCCCCCAATAGCCTACAGGCTCCAAGTCTCATCTGTCTGCTTTTAGGGTAGGAAGGCTGACATCAGAAAGGCAGTGGAGGGCAGGGAAAGGAAGAGGGGAAAAAAGGTGGGAACCAGAGTGAAGAGCAATCAACAGCTGACCAACACTGACTGCTGCAAAACTTACAAAACACAAAATCATACAAACAGAATTTCTGTTAACCTTTTATAGACTACAGACTTTATATACACACACACAAACTTCAAAGTACACATCTGGCAGTCTAGAAAATACCAGTGCCCTAAGGATTAAATAATTTAAAATGCAACACTGTGTTATCACTGTATACAGAATACTATCTGACACATTGTCTAAAATGGACGGATTGTCTGAGAAAGATGCTCCCTCCCTCATCTCACCAGCACTGCCTCTAAAAAGAAAACAAGGGCTAAAGACTCCCCTCCATGGTTCCACTCCTGAAACTCACCTTGAAACTTCTCTGTCAAAGGTGGGGGACATCCTGAGAGGACGGGAGGAGAAAAGGATTCCTGCTCCCTGCAAACTCTGCTGCCCCAGTACCCCTCTCCATTGTCTAGGGAGACTGGACAGCAAGGGGAAAAAAGGGTGCTAAAGGTGGGGGGAAAGGCAAGTATTTTCTGTAATGATAGCTGCGCTGGTCTTCTGAGAGACAACCCCAGACTTGGGAGGACACTCCCTCTCCCCCTTTTTGAAGGCAGGAGGCCAGAAGGCTGAATGCAGAGTATAAAGAGTCCATGTGGCTAGTTTAGGAGATACCAACAGTGCAGCAGCTGCCCCCCGAAACCCATACTGCAGTCCAGCACCAGATGGGAGAGCAGCCAAGGGAGAACAGCCTGACAGCAGCCGTGAACAGGAGTGGGCACAACTCCGTTACCAACAGGTCCAGATTGAACAGGAAAGTGTGCCCTCACCAGCTTTCTAAAAGCAACTGTAAACTGGGAGCACTGGAAAGTCAGCACATGGGAATGAGGAAAGGGAGGGACAGCCTCAGTTCTGAGGTGGCTGGAGAGGGGACTAAAACACATACTGAGAGCAGATGGCAAAGCCAATATCTCTCTAAATACCAGCTCCGCATATGTACCCTAATACCAGTGTATGGGACAGAACTTTGCCGATGACACCAGTTCAGTCCTATCACCTTCACAGATTTACAGCTGGTGAGAACCTGGCTTACGTGCACTTATTACAAAGCCCTTTGAGGCATGCAGTCTTGCTTCCACCTCCTATACACCAGAATAGACATAAGCTCTCGGGAAAAAGACGGAAAAAAAAAAAAAAAAAAAAAACCCAAACCTAATTCCCATGTGTGTCTCCCACTCCTCCCTCATAATCAGCCTCTCTTCCTCTAGGCCAGAGACATCTAAGGAGCTGCCCTGTTTTCCATTCCGGGGGCTGTTCCCACCAGTAACACCCAGCAGATCTGGCTAGGCAGGAATGGCAAGCCCTGCTCCTTCGGCCTCATCACATGGCCAGACCACAAAGGTTTCTTCCTCCCCTACAACAGGTCCAGTGAGAATTGCCCAGGCTGGAGGTTGTGTTGCAGCAGACTGGACAAGCCTCAGCCCTTACTCCTGAACGCAGCTTGCAAAGGATGAGAAGGCTCCGTAGGAACAGGAGCCATGGGCATTCTCCTCTTCCAAGCTCTACAGCTGTAAATACTGCCAGTGTAATCATTATCCACTCAGAAACACAACAAACAGCCCTATCCAAAACATCTCTCAGTCTGACCTGCACGACTGAGTCAGAGGGACCAAAAAAAAAAAACCCCCCCAAAAAAAAAAGAGGGAACTGAGACAGCGTGGTACAGCAGAGAAAAAGAAAAATGGGGCAAAGTCAGACTGAAGGAAAGGACCTCAATGCAAGTCTGCTAAAATCATCACTGGATTTACCAGCCCAGTTCCACCTTCTTCAGACCAAAATGGACTTGCTGCAGTAAGTGTACTACAGGAGAAAGAAGTGCATAGTTCGGTTTATTTTTTTGGTAGACACTTAAACATCAGCAGAATTTATGCTAAGATCTTAGAGCTGTAGTTTTAGCTTGTTTTCCCTAGCCAATGCGTACCTGCCGGGGCAGAGATGGTGGAAATGGACCAGTAGCACCAAGAAATTCAGTGGGAGCACCAACTCCACAGCAGGAAATAATAATGAACCAAAAGGAGACAGAGAGAGAGAAGTGGAGGAGACATATTTCGCAGTAATCAAAGTCCACCTTGGCTAAACCCTATCGAGATTTCCCTAGGTAAGGCCCCATTATGTCTGCAGCAAGACCTCTGGCTCTGACAGAGAGCTGTAGAGGGTATAGCCCAACTCATCCACTTCTTCAGGGGTAAGCTCTGAAAATAAGTTCACCTTGGGGTTCAGAGCACTAGGGAGGACGCCTGCCTCCAAGTAGCGGATCAACCCCTTCAGTGCCTGCAAGAAGCGATCAGCCAGCACGTCCTGGGACCAGTCGGACTCCTCTTGGGATAGGTGCAGGATGACATTTGTGAGCTGGCTGGCAGTGAGGTGGCCCAGGGCTGGGTTTGACTTGCATACCGCTTTGAAGATTTTCAGGCACAAGCAACGGCAGCCAGAATCACACTGGTCCAGGGCTCGCAGGCGAGCTGTTTCTGCTGGCCGCAGGCTCAGTCGCCACAGATTGTCATTCTGGGCCAATCGATGGGGTTTTGCCACAAGGATTATGTCACCCAGTGTCAGGGATGGCAAGAAGTCAATAAAAAGATGCCGTTCTGGATCATACTGGACTTCCAGGGTCAAATCTGCTGGGGGAGCTGCTGGACGGATCACATAATCCAAGAGAGTCCCAATTGCTGGCCAGTTGATGGAGCCAGCTACAACTTTCTCGAAGGTGTCTGCTACAGCTTTGGGGGAAAGGTAACCTCCCACCACACAGCGGTCCCAGTAGCTGCTCCCACGGGGAAAGTACTCTGGGTTTTCCCGACGCACCAAGTAGAAGCCAGGAATGTTCATGATAGTGTCCTCCCCGGGGATGCACGACCACAGGTTCTGCTCCAGCATCAGAGGCACAATGAGCTGGATGTGGTCAGCTGTCACTACCTTTCACAAGAAAGAAAAGTCGGTAAGAACAAGCTTTCTCTCTCCACATTCAGTTTTATTCACCACCTTTAGATAGCCTTCTGTTCAAAGGAATTTGGAATAAGGATTCAGCTGTCTCACTCTACTCTCTGCGTGGGATTCACAGCCTCCCTTTGTCAAAAGGCATTCTGAAGGACTATTTCACATAGTCACTAAGATAACTCCAAGTTATAACCCAAGCTAGTGCCTATATGGCATGTGTTATTTAGAGATTTTTAAATACCTCAGGACCTGACAAGGACTGCATATAGACCAACCATTTTGCCTCCTATTGCTCTGAGTCTATTCCTTGGATGCGAGATGCAGCGGGCCCAGGGCAGAGCAACACCACAATAATTTAAAAGATGAGGCAGAGTATTAAGTTCCTACATAAGCTTAAGTTGCCATGGTTTAACAATCCCATGCTACAGCTAGGTACTGCCCTCACCCAGTCTGCCACACTGTTTGGAAAAAGGTCATTAAAGATCACTTTTCACCAATGTGATTAAGACCCCAGATCTAAGTTTCACTGGACACTTGACACTCCATTCCAGAGCTCTGACTCAAACAAAAAAGTGTGCCTCTGAATCACTCACTATAGCCATGGGCATCTTGCCATCAGGGAGATATGCAGCAGGGACTGCTGTCCAATCCAGGTCTGTCATGCATTAAAAAAAAAAAAAAAAAAAAAGAGTAGGGAAGACCTACATGAATACACAGGAGTTCTAAGGGAATATCATGTATTTGGAAGGAAACAGAAGGGACAAAGAGAAAAGAGAGATCTACCAGAGAAACAGTAAGAAAAACACAGCTAAAGGGAGAGACAGAGGGGAAGTTAAGAAGGGCTGAGATAACCTGGGAGAATAAAACACCAAAAAGTAAATGCTTTGCCAGAGCAGCCTGGTCACACGTGTTCAAACAGTACTGCAGAAATCAATGCCTGGCTCCACGGTGGGAAAGGCGACACCAGGAGCCTTATTACAGAGGAATGTTGTGCTGAGCCAGCACTGCCAACAGAGAAGCCTGAAATGCCCCTGCCTAGTCAGCTTCTGAATAATGACCCATCACGCGGCCCCAGGAATTACCTGCAGATCATCATACAGGCTGCCGCTGAGGTACATGTCACGCAGGGGCATGTCTGGCAGCTTGGCACGTAGGAAGCTGCGCAGCTCGGCACAGATATCCACAGCTGCTTGCTTGGCTCGGGCTTGCTCATCTGCTGGGATAGCTACCTTCTTCCGATAATACGCAAAGAGCTTTTCTTGCAGAGACAGGCGAAGGCGGGATTTTTTCAGCTCCACCTGACTTCGCTTGACAGATGGCTTGGGCTTTGTGGGTCGGAAAAAGTCTGCAAGACAGAAGGAAAACTGTTGATCTATCTGCAGTATTTCACTGTGAACTGATCTACAGAAGAAAACCTGCAGCACGGAAGTGCAGCCTCCTAGGTCTCAAAAAGCTTTCAGCAGACATTTTGCATGCTTTGCACAAGTACCAGTCAAAAGGGGGATGCTGGGAAACTTCAAAAGATACTGCTACAAGAATCAAACTGGATGAAAACAAGTTACTAGATCGGGAATTTAGCCAGAATGAGGCTAACATGTACGAGTAAGTACTTTTAATGGCTATGTGGGCAGTACCTCAGTTCAATTTCATCAAAAATTCATCACCATTACCAGTTCAGAAGCTTTTAACATGATGACAGGCCAGCTGACAAAACACTCTTGAAAAAACATCACTATCTCATTAAGTTTTTAACATTAGAATGGATTTTTACAAATTATCAGCAAAACCCAGTCCTGCCTAGGGTTTTGCTGAGATGATGATGATGATTGCATCATGATGCAATTGATGAGAGCATCATGCAACTTGGAAATAAAATAGTTGTCAGGACGATGGTGAGCTGACAGATCTTGGGGTCAGCAGGCAATCATAGCCCCAACTTTCCCTCAAACTTTCACTGGCCAAAGAGCAGAGAGCACACTCTTTGGCACATATCAGCAATACCGCGCTTTACACTGCTGTCTGTGTTATTAAGCAATGTCTAACCTGCACAGATTCTCTAAGCCTCTCTTTTTCTGACTCATTTCCTAAAGAAACAAGTTAATGCTACCCACTATCTTTCAGACTTCTCTTAATATGGACCAAGAGTTTCAGGAATTACCAATGAGAATTAAAGAAGAACTGCAGACCTAGGAGATCTTTGGAAAGGCTGTGGCATTTAATGGGCACAGGAGAAACCCCCAAGTCAGTGCCCCATTAAGGCAATCAGCTGTTGCATATTTGTTCAGCAACAGGCCTTTGGCCACGCAGCACATGCAGAATGTCTGACCAAGATGCAGAGAGACCCATCTCACCCAACCTCACAGCTGCTGTCTCTTGTCCCACTGGGGTCTTTTGGACAGATTTGAGGGTTTGTGTAAAAACTAAATAGCCTGCAAAACCATAGGGAACCAGACTTCATTGCCTGTTCATGAAAGAAACCTTATTTTTCCATCTTAAGTTTTAATTTATTTTTAAGTCAAGAATGCAAGATGCCATCATCAATGGTTTCACTCCTCAGTCCTCATTTTTTTTTGGAGTCCAATAGAATGATCTAGACCCTATTTAACACAGTTGTCTGTTTATTTAGTGCTTCCTCAGCAGAAAATCCGTTCCATCCTGAAGCTGACTTTCTTGAAGAGAATCTGGAAATCAGTTTAAAGCTTGATTGCTATTTTTCAGATTCAAATATCCAAGTGTAAATCTCCCAAAACGACCAGGGATAGAAAGAAAAACCAGTGAGGAAAACCAACCAAACATAAATAACAAACACTGATGGACTCTAAATTACTTATTATCCCAGTCAAAAAGAAGACTGCAGGTGACTTTTCATAGCCTGATGAAGACTACCTCAGTGATATGCAGCACTAAACAAGCAAACAGTGTCACAGAAATTATTAGGAAAACGGTAGAAATAACATAGGAAATACTGTTATAAATTGCTAGTACATTCACAATTTGAATATTGCTCTCTTAAAAAGACACAAACTGGAATGGTCCAAAGAAAGGTAACAAAGAGCTTCAAAGGAATGGAATAGCTTTTTATCTGTAAAGATTGCACAGCTAAGCATTGAGCTTGAAAGATGGAGGAACAATAAAGCTTAAGACCATGAAGTCATAAGAGGAATGAAGAATGCAAACATATGACTATTATTCATGAAATGACAATCTGACTTTAAATTCTTGAAGTTATCAGTAGACCTGCTTAAAAGAAAAACATCAAAATCCTGGGCTAGACAGAGTATTCTCTTTCCTGAGTTAATTTAAGTGAATACAGGGTTTACGGGCCTGGATGATTCTGCAATGCAGGAGTATCACCCTGCTCCTTACCTGTGTCTGCGGCCGAAGGATCTGTGGGAAGGGTCTGCAGGGAGCGGCTGATGTTGGTCTTCATGTCTTGGGTCAGTAAGCGTGAGGAGGAGCCCAGCCAGTTTGGCTCTTCCCAGCTTCTCTTTCCAGACTGGCTCAAGCGAGTGGGGCTGCTGGGAGCACTGATCGCCCGGTCATACATCTAAAGCAACATCACCAGGCACAGTCTGAGTTGTGAAGGGCTCAACATTTGCATTTTATCCAGCATCCCAGGTCTTTTTATTTCCCACTCCTTCTTTGCAGTGCCCCCATGCTCAGGTCCCACCCTGCTGTCCCGCAGGCTCACCCGTTTGACAGCCAGCGTGGCGATGCCCAGCATAGCAGCTCCACCCACGCCCAGCACAAGCCGGGCGTTGGACAGCACAAAGTCGATGGCTGTGCCGATGCCGTTGTCATCTTTTTTCCCTTTGCGCTGCCCAGCACCTGCCATCTCACCTGTAAGGAGTGGGAGCATTAAACAAACGGGTCAAACACGCAACCTGAACAGTTCACTCCCTTCTCCTCCACGCCACGCTCATAGCTCTTGAGGTCTTAGCACGGAGCCATAGGAAGGGACCACCTAATGCTGCAGCCTCTTTAATTATCTTTCCTTGAGGAGCTGCTTATTCCCAGACACAACAGTACTGACCAAGCTCTGCAATGGCAGCATTTCTTTGCTTCCAGCTCTGATATGACCTGAAGAAAAACATCCCAAATTTGACGTGGCTTCTAATCATTTAAGCAGGTTTAATTATAGCAGCACCTAATGTTTTTTTAAAAAGAAAGCAAGATTTACTTCAGTAATATTTTGCAATAAAATCTTGTATTTTATGTAAAACTCTGTGACCATTCTGGTCTTTTTCTTTAAATCTGTTCTTCTCAACCAAAGCATGGCTTTTTTTCTGCCAATTTATTTTCTTATTCTCAATCTAATCCATGCAATTTCTCTCGCAATTTCACTCACAGACAAGGCAATGTAGGAATTGTCAACTGCTTGTCTGTAGCAAATCAGCATCTTCCCAAGAGCTGACAAGCAGTCTCAGAGCATCCATTCCCAGACTCATTTTTGGACAATGGCTGGTCCCAGACAGTTCAAAGACATTGAAGAATCAACAGTAGAGACCACAATGCACCACAAAGGGAACAGCTCCCTTGCTTTCACCGGACATTTATTCCTGCCCTCAAGGCTGGTGGGTTTGACTCTCATACAAGTCATGTATAACATAAACATCAGTATTTCCTTACACATGTACTTTTGTCTCTTCCAATTCCCATTTAACCTGGTCTCAGTATTTAAAGGGTTTCCTTGGCCAACTACACATGTAAAACACATTTTGCCCCTGCTGTACCCATACACGAAAACCACAGGAAACCTTTCCAACCTGACTTGACGTCTGTTTTCTAAGTAATTTTCAAAGGTTCAGAGCCTGCCTAACTTGAGTGGTTTAAAACTGCCCTTACATTTTTCTAAGGCCAAGCTACAATCTAAGGAGGAATGTTCCTGCCTTGATGCACCAGCAATCCAGTCACTCTTCATCCCTAGGCAGAAAAAAGACACTTTGAAGGGCATGGTTATATCATTGTAAATGACCTACCTGTGACCTAATGCATTTGTACAGAGAACAGGAGAGCCCTCCTGGTGTGCCTGCGGAAGCACCTTCCAGCTTTCTTCAAGACAGTGGTGGGCAGGCACTGTTAATCATCTCTTTCGGTTAGCCAAGGGATTTTGGAAAGGGAGGACAAAAGGAGCTACAGGGAGTCTCTAGACCAGGCCCCCGAGTTTGCTCTGCAGGAAAGCTTGGCCCTTCTCCAACTGCCTTTCCTTGTCCTCCAGCCGCTGCAGACCCTGGTTCTTGCGGAACTCACGGCGAATGAAAGCGAAGTAGAAATCCCGGTCGGTGTAGCGCAGCCCGCGGCCCTGGCGCAGCAGAGCCCGGTAAAGGGTCAGCACAGCCGCCCGGGACCACGCGGCCATGGGGGACGGTGTGGGGATGGGCAACCTAGAGAGAGGTGAAGGGCGGGATCCGAGTGAGCTCTTCCCTCCCGGAGGGACGCAACGGCCACCGCCTCCCACTCCGTGGCGCGGCCCG